TATTTGTCTGTGGGTTTAAGGAGAGAAAGAACCTAATCCTGCTCCCCTTGAGGTCAACCACAGTGCTTGCCTTTGACTCCAGTGGGATCAGCATAAAGTTATACTGGAAGTTTGAGAATCCTAGCAAAAAAACAATGCCATGGATTCTCATTCTCCATTGTGCTGAATAGTGTGCATATAATCCTCTGGTCAGTGTGTTACCTGTCCCCCTCTGTGCCCAGTGCACCTTAGAGGGCGTGTCATGTAACACACACTGACCAGTGGGTTACCTATGGCATTCAAATACAGTGCACCAGAACAGGTAGCAAAAGGTCACACAGAGCTTTTTTGTCAGACAGGTTCCCTTAGCGGTAGCTCTTTAGCTCAAGCTGTAGCAACTCATCCTTTTAGCTCCAGAGGTCACTGGCTGAAATCCCTGATGCATCAGTCAAGATAGTAGCAGGCATGTAAGGGGGGGCTTGTCCAGTATTTGAACTGCTCTGGACCTCAGGTGCTTGGGAAAAGCTTCCTCAGACATGAGTAAGTATGGAGCTCACTGGTCAGTGTGGTTTAGGTATCATATCCCCTGCTGATTATTCAGAGAGAGGGAAGGGTTACATATACAGAGCAGCTTCCTAGTCTACACAACAGACATAGTCCTATCTGCTACTGTACCGCACTTAAGGCTTGTGTATATGACACGTGATACAGACCCTTTGGAGCCCTCGTGTACTTCCATTCCAGTTTCCATAATAAAGTAAAATATTAGCATAGAAGCTGGGATAAAAGGACTCCAAGGGAAGCTAGGCCCCAGGGGAATTCCCTGCAAACCCAAAGAAACTTGGTAGACAACACCTGTTACAGTGCACTGTAACGAAGGGCTTCTAAAGGGATGGCAGGCTCTAAGGAACGGGCATAACTCTCTGTATTTTTACAGGCAGTTTAAGGAGACCTGCTAATCAAATTTCTGACTCTAGGTTGCTTTGTTTGAGAAGCCAGTCTAGAGGTATGCTTTGTTTGAGCTTATCTCAGTCTAATAAATGAGGCATTTCAGTGTGGTATAGCAGTGTACACATGGGTGATTACTGTGCAGTAAGCTGGTGCGCTCTAGATTCACACCCTGGCTTCTGTGTAGTAACTTGCCATGTCAACAAGACCTAAGTCAATGCCACCGGACTCATTGAGGCAGGGCCTAAAAGAATGTCAATAAATTTTAGAAACATATCTTGACTTTCTAGGACTATTCACAATGAATAGTAAACCCTTAATGTTGCCAGTGCACTGATTTGGAAAAAGGGATATGAACTTGTCTTCTAAGGGTGCAAAGAATGTGGTCCTTGAATCAAGTACACAGCTGGCAAAAGGGGTGCAATTCTATTGACTTCAATGCAGTTGCCCCACATACAGCAGGCCTGAATTTGGTCCTTAGGTGAAGGATGTTCCAATAATTCTCTGCCTTCAAATGAAATGCATCCTGGGGTTAATTCATGAAAGTTAGAGAAATTGTATCTCTGGGGCTTCTTTCCACAGTTTGAAGAGTCTCTTCATGTATGCAATAATAAATAAATAATAATAATAATATGTAGATAATTATTTAAACAAAAGAACACACAAACCACAGAAGCGGTGAAGTCCTATTGTAGTAGCCATCTCTTCTCAAGTATCCTATTCTATAACACTGCCAATTGTTTCATCATTGCATAGTTATCTTGCTACATTAACTGGGTAGGTTTTACAGACTTTGGCATAAGGTACAAACTTATCACTCCCTCTGTCTGTATGTACCTAAGAGTGCTTTAACTGGTCATTTGGACTATTATGCAACATTTATCTCTATTTGTAATATGAGATACTACATGAAATCAACACACTTGTATGTACATAAGGCTGAGGCCGTACAGTATTATCAATACATGTCTTTAATCACACACTTTATTTCAGTTTAGTATCTTTAAAATATTTGCCAAGTAAATTGCCTTTAAACTGTCTAGCAAGGTAAAGTTTATCAACTACAATCAAACTTGGAAAGTGCCATCAGCAAACATAACTGAAAAGAATGGTACATAGAATAATCAACTTACTAACATTTATACTGCAGAGCATAGAGCATTAGTCATCTGTTTTAAAAGTTTCACTCATTTATTCAGGGAGCAGAAAATATACTACTTGTCTACACACATACCGTGAATAGCAGATAACTAAAGTTAAGAGCAAGTAATGAATGTTCTTTGATCGTACAGTGCCTACCACAATGGAGTCCCACACCATGATCAGTGGTCCTAGATGCTACCACAATATAATTAATAAATAATAGTAAAATAATTTAAGCAAGCAGTTACAAATAACCTAGAATTTGAAAATTATTCATCAAATCTATTCAGTAAACACTAACAAATTCTGATGACAGTTGCAAAAGCTGTTTGTGATTGATTTGCAAATCCAACAAACTCTGGCAAACCTCGACACTATTCAGTCTCACTCAGAGTGGGGTATGATGTGTTACATTATAGTAGGTCTTTTAACAGCCTGTATCTCTTATAAGACAATGCCATGCTGGGGTGCACTGGCTTGTGGGTACTGGAGGGAACACACTAAGCAGTGCCTTTTGCTACACCTTTAGAAAAGGCGTAGCCATTCACAATTTGAGTTAATTACATATTGCATCATGCACCCCTAGCTAGTGCTAAAACTTAAGGTTCTTTTTCATAGTCTAAGGCCTTGTCTTCACTAGGGAAAAAAAGATGTTTTTAAATTGAACTAGCTAATGTGGTAAAATCCTAGCAAGGACAAGACAGTTTGTGGTTTCCACACAAGTAAGCAGGTCAACCATAGGCTCCCTCATAGTCTTTATAACTTGATATACTACTAACTTGTCTAAACAAACTGCCTTGTCTTCAATGAGATTTTGGCATGTGTTAGCTAATTCAAGGTAAGTTCACATCTTTGTTCTTAATGAAAATGCACCCTTCAGCTTTAACTCCTTAATAATCACATGCATAGTTTAACCTGGTCCCTTCTATTACACTATATCAGGGGTCGGCAACGTTCAGCACCCTGGCAGGCAGGGCCAGTTTTATTTACCTGCTGCGCGGCAGGTTTGGCCGATCGCGGCCCCCACTGGCCGCGGTTCGCCGTCACGGGCCAATGGGGGCAGCAAGAAGCGGCGCGGGTGAGCGATGAGCTGGCCGCAGCTTCTCACCACCCCCATTGGCCCGGGCCAGCGAACCGCGGCCAGTGGGGGCTGCGATCGGCTGAACCTGTCGCGTCAGCAGGTAAATAAAACTGGCCTGGCCTGCCAGGGTGCTTACCCTGGCGAGCTGCGTGCCGAACGTTGCCGACCCCTGTACTATAGTAACATAAATTTGCAGGAAAATTGCAGGTTACAACAACAGCTTTTCTGTCTTCAATTATGCTGATGTCTTCTCAGTTTTCTCACAAGCTTAGTTTTATCATGCAATTTTCCCTGACAAACATATCAAAGAAAAAACCAGGAGAAAGAAAAATAGGGCTTCCTTTTCATGGTAAGAGATACCATCAGATACCGTGATTGGACAAAGTCTCTTTCTCTCTCTCCTGGCAACAGAAATCAGTAGAAGTGTCAGATGAGCAGACAAAGTCAAATCCAGGTGCATCTAAGCTATGTTGTTAAATGTGAAAACATCAGAACCTGAGGTATGATAGGATATAGGGCCATTAAACCCACTATTCCATGAATTTCTCTCCCCTCCTTCTCTTCCTTGCAAAATTAGCTCTTTCATGTAAGGTTTCACCCTGCTGACAAATTCTGTTGGGTGGCCCCGCGAAAGAACAGTTTTGATTTAGAGAGACTTTTTGTATATTTATCCTGTCCCTACTTTACCACAGGAGAAACAGATCACAGACAAGTTTGATATTCTTAGATAGAAACATGGCATTGGGGGTGATAACATGAAACATTACATTTCAGCTAGGGATGACTGTCCATCGACTCACTGTCCACTAGCGCAATTTATAGGGCACCTAGAAGCCCTGAAATATATACAGTACAGTCTGATAATGATTACTGGATTTAAGAACTAAATTACACTTCTCATACTATAAAGCAGGGGTTCTCAAACTTCATTGCACCGCGACTCCCTTCTGACAACAAAAATTACTACATGACCCCAGGAGGAGGGGGACTGAAGCCTGAGCTCACCCTAGCTCCTTCCACCTTGGTGGGAGAGGGGCAAAGCCAAAGCCCCACTGCCCCAGGCGGAGCGTCCAAAGCTGAAGCCCAAGGACTTCAGCCCCAGGCAGGGGCTGTAACCTGAGCCCCACTACCCAGGGCTGAAGCCCTTGGGCTTCGGCCCCAGGCAGTGGGACTCAGGCTTCAGCCCTGAGCCGCAGAAAGTCTAAGCCAGCCTTGGTGACCCCATTAAAACGGGGTTGTGACCCACTTTGGGGTCCCGACCCACAGTTTGAGAACTGTTGCTAGTAAGAATGCATAAACAAGAAAATTCTGTGGAGACAAAACAAGATCTAGTAGATGCACTGAAGAAAAACAGTGTTATCTCTTTTTAAAAAAGCTGAAAAGGAGTAGATGGCATTTTACTATGTATTAGTGCACAGTAAGGAGAAGGAATAAAACGAGAGAGAGGAGTGCGCTTTGTCTAGTGGTTACAATAAGACTGGAGTGGAGGCGGGGACTCCCAAGGCCCTATTCTTCTATTATAGCATCCACTCCAATCTTACTAAAGTCATACTGACTTACTGAAGTCAATGGGAGATACTTGTATCCTGTGGCAGGGGAGAATAGGATCCTTAGGTTCTATTCCTGTCTGTGTGACATTGGGGAAATTTAGTTAACCTCTTTAGGCCTTAGTTTACCTAGCTGTCTCTTCTCTGTGCTTCTATTTGCCTAGCAGTAATTTGGGGATAATAATGTTTATCTCCCACAAACAGCTGTTGTGGGGCTTAATTCATTAAAGTTTATGAAGTGCTTGGGAGGGTCTCAGAAGGTGCTACAGAACAGCAAAGCATTATTATTATTATACAATGAATTATACATCAAAGTTTGCTTGCGTTTATTAAATTATATCATACAGTAGTTTTAGAAATGGGGTGTGCACAATCAGAAGCATTATTATCAAGGGTCTTTCAGTCTTCTAGGATTTAGGTAGCAAACCAGACTTTTATGACTGCATCACAGAGTTGGGGAGCGATTTCCTTGGAACAAACTGAAAGAAAGGACAGTAAAATTTGTAAGTGAGCAGAAACAGAGGATAAATGAAACAAGTATCTTCCCAGCAACCATTTAAAATGAGATGCAGAGACACACTTATGCTGCAAATGGCGCACAAAAAACAGGCTTTAAACACACATGATCCCAGAATACAAACTCAAAAATATGTAAAAGAAATGTTAAAATATCAAGGAATGCTTCACAGAACTGAATCCTGGTTAAAGGTACAGAAGGAGAATCTGAAAGAAAAAAATCTTGCACTGACACTGTCTTTTGGTTTTGAAAATCCTTGAGATATAGTCCTTATATAGCTATCGTAAATAACTGATGAATGAGACTATGAAAGGTTCTACCATAAGCAATGCAAAAATCATCATTTCTAAAACAAAGACATAAGATAACTGACTGAATCCACAAAAGAAACTGAAGAGAATAAGCAGCTTCTCACTCTGCCCTATGTTGATTCAGGAAACAGCCATACATGCTTCTCCCACACTGCCATTACAATGTACTTCAACATTGATTGGAGAAACCATGTCTAAGGGTGAAATTCAAGCTCCATGACCATTCAGATACTTGACCTTTCTAATGATAGGGCTACCAAAGGTTAAAATTGTGATGGCTATGTCTGAAATGTGGAGACCTTTCCACTGGAAATTGGACTGCAACCTTCAAATTCATTTCACACAGGTAGGGTGCTTACCAAACAGCCATCACATGAGAACAACTTTCAGTGACTACTGATCTAGACTGCATTTAAACCAGTGACCTGGAGGAGAAAGACCCTGTTCCATTACCAAACCCCTGAGACCTGCTTAAATCAAAAAGAAGCCACATTTCAGAAGTTGAATCCCAGAAAACTCTCCTGAATTATGTAAAAATGTTTTACCACTGTAGTGCTTAACATACCTATATAAGGAGATCCAGGTCTCCCACTCCCCACCAATGATACAAAAGTAATGAAACTTTATTTTGCTATTGGATCATTGGTAAATTGTGTGGCTGTAAGATTTCTGTGATGGTTTTTCCCTTTTTATTATTAATAATTATTTATGTAAAAACCCCTCAGTTTTCACATAACATTAGATATGGCAAATTGACATTGTGATTGAAATTTAGAAATTCATTGAAAGTAATCAGCACAAGAATTTTATAGGAATAGCATGATGCCTCTTTACATGTACTAGGGAACAGGGCAAAAAAGGTCTTAATTCACCAAAATCAGGGTGTGACATTCCCCAGGGTGCAATCTGAACTGCTGGACTGCTGTGTTCACTGAGCTCTCCAACCTGTGATGCCTTTTACACTGCTCTGCTGGTGAACAGCAACCCCTGCTCACACACAGCCACTAGCAAGTGAAATCACTCCCAGCTGAACACATGAATGCTATGCCCAGCCATCCATAAATTACATACGAAGTGACTCCTGCATATCCTCAGTCCCAGCCTTGTCCCCCAGAAATGTGCGCCTTGTACAGTCCAGCGCACTACTGAACAATGCAAGCTCATAATAAGTCTGTCATTTCAACAAAGGAAAATGATTATATGCACCAACTTTGTTGACTTGAATAGAGATTCCCAAACATTTCAACCAAAACAATATTACATTTTTATTTAGATATTATCTAATATTTTTATTAGATAAAACAATAAAACAAGTTTATTAGTTAGAGAAAGAGATTCTAGTGATTACAAGTGATAAGGCATAAAAGTTAGCATTGGTTACAAAAGAAATAAAAGGATAAACACGCAAACTAATTCCCAAATTTAACAATGGCTAATAGGTTTAAAGGCAAAAAAGGAGGTTTTTTTGCACTAAAAGCTTACAGGAATCTGTACTGGCTGGAAAACCTTCAGGCGAGGACCACTCCCCAAGTTCAATGATGCTTCTTTTGTCTTTCAAGCAATCTCACTGCTGTGAGAAGAGATGGAGGGGAAGAGGTGAGGATTACCTCCCACCTGAGTGCAAATAGTCTCCCATGTACATGAGGTTTGAAGCATTTCTGAGATGTAAATTCTTTGTTATACCTTCCCTCTTTCCCCCCGGTTCCCTCAAATGGTGGATGACCAGTTAAGCAGGTAATGGCTTTCTAATACCTTGCTGGCATGCGAGTGCATCTTTGTCTCTAAGAAAATGGTTTGTGGGCGTTACCCAGAATTACAACATATTTCAGTAATAATCAGATAGCAAAATCGCATAATTTGACAGACGGTGATGTTACACACATTTCAGCAGGATAATAATATTCAACAGATAATGCGTTTTCAAATATCACTTCACAATGCATACTGTGTACACAATATATCATAACTATATAAAAATGGTGAACATAGAGTACAGGGTGTCACACAAGGATGTAGCCTATCAAGAAACAGCAGCTTGTGAGGAAAAATTCAAATGTACCAAACTTCTCATATGTTGCCAGTTCCTTGTTCTGCCAGTGGGATGCTTTCCAATTATTTCAGTCAGTCTAGGATCTGACCCACAGTCTGAGTTTAAGTTAGCAGTAACCAGCTACCATAGTGAAAAAGAATATATTATGGATTCAGAACGGAAACCACTGGCCAAATATTTATTCACAATTTTAGAAATGATCACAGATTTTAAGACCATAAGGGGCCATGATGATCATCTAGTCTGAGCTCCTGCATAACAGAGGCCTTAAAATTTCACACAGTAATTCTTGCATTAAATATCTAGAAACATCTTGCTTCTCTCAGTATTCACTCTCCTGACTAGTTTCTTTGTCTGCTTCTTCCATTCTCTACAAAGGGTTTTATTTTCTTGTTGTCTTCCACATCTGGAACTGTCGCTGACCCAAACACTCTCCCTTTCCTCCTTGCAATCCTTCTGTAAAATTCACTTCTCTTGTAAAGCCTTCTTATGTTAATCTACTTGTCAATGTCTCCTTGTGTTGTTTTCCTCCTTCCTCGTCTTTTACAAGGTTTATAAAGCACTATGTATACTTTAAGGTGCTCTATAAATAATAAATTAATGAGTGATTTAAAGTATACAAACAAAATAAGCTAGGCAACCTCCCACTAGGAAGATTTCAGGGTGAATCTGCTGTGGAAAATGCTTCATTGCTACAGAATGTGCTACATAGTGGGTATAAGATCCCAGGCTTCATCTTGCTTAGTGGCCATATACAGCAACTAATTTTCCAGTGTGTATGGTGCTGTGTACTCTGTATATCGGAGGACAGAATCAAGTCCTTACTGGGTGTCGCATACAAAAAAACTAATGGTTATGAAAAGGAAGTCTAGCTACATTGTTATTCTCCTTATATGGATGGAAAATATTTACTATGTAAACTCTACTGCAGTTTCAATGATTTGGAACTTCTATATTGGCCTTATATGCTAAACAGATATCAGAATAAGTAGAATGGTAGATTTTGTGCCAAGCTTTTTGGCTTTCACAGTAATTCTCATCTGGCCTAATGAAATTCACTACATTATCTTGGGCTTTGACTGCACTTAATTAAGCCTAATTCAACCATAATATTTAATGCAAAATGTAATATTATGTTTTGTCCCTAGGGCCAAACACAGTCTTGTGCAAAATATCCTTTAAAAAATTACAGATAAAGTCAATGGTTGCCCAAAGCAGACTGAATTTGTTATAATTATAAGTTCCCCAGCTAATGATGCCCTGAATGCAATGGTCATCAGAAGACACTATAGTTGTCTCTCCACTGGGATTTTTTTTCCAGGGAAACGCCTACCACTGTTGCACAGTACTGCCATTGGCATAGCTGCACCAATGCTGGCAAATGCGGGAGTGCAAGGGCAAACCAGCCACTGGAGCTTTTACCACCATTGTTGTTTAGCCTTGCTCAGAGCAGATATGCAGTTCTACGCTAGAACTCCTGCTGCTGCTGCCATTGCAGCACTGCGAGAGTTCCCCAAGCCTGTCAACATTATAAGGCCTTCTGGCAATTCTGCTCCCAGTAAAATGCATCATGGTCAAAAAAACAATTGGATGCACACAGAAAATAATAAAATGAACATGTAAAAGCCTGTTTTGTTAGCAGGAAGCTATTTGGATCCCCACTGCTGCTCTGCATCTGAGAGAAAGTAGCAACTGGCTTGCTTTCCCCATGAAGGCAGGTGAAACCATAATTATATGTTTGAAGACAGAGCCCCTTCTGTGTTTTTTCTATTCATTCACACTCCCAAATAGTCCTACTTCTTTCAGGAATCAGCAAATTTAGGACAGAACTTTAAGGCTGACTCCTTAAGCACATGTAGGATGGGATGGGGGGAAAAAAAGAATTAAAGATGCTGATATAATCTTGCCAAGCCCAAGCATTCAAAAACCATGAATCGGGCCCCAAACATATCATGAGATTGTAAAAAAATAATACATTTTAGGTTCTTTTTGTTTGCTTTCTGGTTTTTGAGCATTTAGTATGCATTCCGATGTTTTCAGACTTTTCTCTCAACCTTTGGGGCTAAATACATTTTATTTTAAATGAAGGCTGAGATTCTCACAGAGTCACATGACTCCAGGACCTTGGGGCTTTGAGAAAATAACCAAATATCATGAAGTCTTGATAAAATTCCAAGCAGCGTGAACACTCTTTGATCAAGGACTGACTGTGCTAGGCATTGTAAGAAATGTCCCCTGGCCCAAATAGCTTACAGGTGTAAAGGGAAAGGGACCAAGTTACCTTCTCCGTTGGATCATCTGAACTGAACTGGAACCATAAACTCCCTAAACATTAAATCTCACCAAATGAGGGTCAATCCATCCTCATCATCATATCCACTCATTATACTCCACACCCGAACACAGCCACTCTATGAACTTCATACCCTCATATCTCAATGTCTGTACTTTGACCCATCAACCTTTTATTCCCAATCGGGGATATTGCAGACTATGTATTCCTCATGCCACCTGATCTTAAACCAAACTTTGCATCCTCGATAATCTGTATGTTATTCCCTGATAACCAGAAACTTCTATGCTCAATCTCTGTTCACTATTTATTTATTTTTAACATCATCTTAATAAAAAATTTTAAATCTGGGAGGGGGCACGGATCACACAGCTGTTCATGTTCCAAGTGGTGGATCCCAGGTTCAGTTCTTTGCCGGGGGTCACTGTTGGGTGAGCCAGGCAGGGGCTCCTAACCATTATATGTTGTCAGTACTGTACCACCCCCATTGATTTTCCCTGCTGGCTGGCAGGAAAGCTAACTCCCTACAAGCAGCTGAATTAGCCCAATACAGTGATTCTTTCAACAACAGCAAGGCAGAATGCAGAATCCCCACTCCTGCCTCCCCACTGTTGGAAAAAAACATGTCATTAAACTAATTTCACAATTTCCATGCAGTCTGTCAAATGGTGATTTAAACATAGCCTTACCCATGGATAAACCCTAGCTCAGGGCCTTTCACAGGGACCATGTGCAAGATTGGGCAGTGCTGCGATCCGGTATGGCCAACAACCACATTTAAAAAACCACAAGTTAGGCCCCTTAATACTGAAAAGTGTCTTTAAAATTATGAGGTTTAAAAAAATACATTTGGATTGTTTTTATGTGCTGTCTGGATTGGGACCCTGCAGGACTTGTGTTTTCAAACTTTTCTCACACCCAGGAAGGCTTCAAACTCACTTTTTTGTTGTTTTAAATGAAAGCTGAGATTCTGTGGTAATGAGCTGACTCCAGGAGACATACACCAGCTGTTGTGAGGCTTGCGATAAGTCACAGCAGACGGCAGCGCAGCAAATCCCTGAGCCTGGCCCTGGTCTCTCCCAGCCCATAGCAGGGCGGCACGGCCTGGGCCCGCTCCGTGCCTGTGGCGGTGTGGGCTCCCGGGGCAGAGACTCTCTGGCTGTAGATGCACCTTGCGCGGGGCTGAGAGCGTCTTGGGTGCCAATTAATAACAACACTGTGCAGAGCCTCCGCGGGGGTTGCTGCTGGCTAGAGCCGCCACTCTCTAGGCCTCTGGACGTCTCTTGCCCACCCTGTGCGAACCGGCTGCTTCTGCTGCCGGGAGAACGCCCTGCACTCCCACCTCAGTTACCCCCTCGGGCCACCTCACCAGGGCCTCCGGAGCCCTGTCCTCTGAGCCCCCGCCTCACTCTGGGCACCTCGCCCTGCCTAGGTATGGGGTGGGGGCGCGTGGGTTTGGTGGGACTGATGCCCTGGGTCAGGAGAGACAGGCCCGGTAGCCCTGCCCCGAGGCGTTATTTCTTTGCACTCTGGTGGCTGACAGGCCAGGGGCCCTGGTGGGCGGGAACACCGAGACTCCCCCGCTCTGCGAGAGGCGTTGGTTGCGGGGGCCTCAGGCCGCGTCACTAGCCCTATCCGGGCATCATCCATTGTCTGACTGACAGCCTCGCTCTGCGGCGGGCGGGCGTGTCCTCCGAGGCGGGGGCGGTGCTGTTGCGCGTGCCGGTTCCGGCCCCCGAGCAGCGAGAGCGAGCGGAGAGGGGCCGGGTCTGTCAGCGCAGCCGGAGAACAGAGCAGGAGTCGCCATGGCCGCCACCGCATGGATGCCCACGGTAAGCGGGTCCCCCGTGCTTGCCCTTGGCGGGGGATCTGGCCCCTCGCCCCCATGGGGGCCGTGATCCCGGGGGGGTGGGGGAGTGACCCCGGCCCTACAGCGTCCCGATGCTCCCCTGGCTGCTGCCGGGCGCGGGGGACTTTGTCCGGATATCGGGGGGCGCGGCCCAGTGCCCGCGCTGCGCTACTTCTCGGCCCACTGTCCCCAAATCTCCGCGGTTGGAGGAACGGGGCCCCAGGCCTGCTAGTGCCCTTGACTTCCCGGTGCAGGGAGCTGGGAAGCCGCAGGCCTGGCGCGTGGGAGAGAGAAACGGGCCAGACTCTCAGTGGGGGTGCACGGTTCTGAGGGGTCAAACGCCGCTGCCCTTAGTTCATCTAAGCAGAGCCTGTTTAGTGCCCTTGAATCCTCTCGCCGCCTCTCTGGGTGGAGGGAACTAGAACGGTGGTGACCTTTCCATCCTGTCCTGTAACGCGTCTCCCTGAGGACAGAGGGAGCCAAACAACCACCCCCGCTACTTGCTTCCCTGCAACTGCAGATCTTTACAATAAAAAGTTGGATATTTTATTTCATAATTATTTTAGCACTGGGAAGAACATTCTTACCTGCCTATTGAGCTGGACTTGCTTTCCTTTCGCCTCCTGATTGTATCTTACAGTACTTATATTTGTAAAAGACATTTGTTCTCAAGTTTCAGAGTAGCAGCTGTGTTAGTCTGTATCCGCAAAAAGAACAGGAGTACTTGTGGCACCTTA